TGCATATAATAGATTCAAAATAGTCTCCACCATCAATTCCACTAATTCGTCACTTCCTTTTAATCCACAAAGTAACTCATCATTTGTAACACAATGATAATAATTCTAAAAATCTTGTAAAAAAAGAATCACAAAGGTGACTAAACTCTCCCTGATAAAATCTTCTGTTCGAGTACGATAGGGATTAAGGGTGGTCGTGGGTTCATTTTAGCCTTTGAAAATTTAGGGGACAAGAGCAATGTGTTTATAATTATATTTATGACATAATTATAATAACAAATGAAGTGTAGTCATATAGAAAAGCTGTATTATAAATATTAATCACGTATACTATGTTTTTTTGGTATGTCTATGGTGACATGCATGTCACCGTAACTTGCACTTTCAGGTCGACCTTATATAGGATTAGGTCGATTTAATCTGCACTTTTAGGTCGACCTTATATAGGATTAGGTCGACCTAATATGTCGTTTCAGTTTTGTGAGGTTCAACGATGCGGTTGACCTTTTATAGCAAATGGTCGATCTTTTGGGAAGCACATGGATGGCATGTACGACTACATGGGCCAAATTTCCACCCAGATGACTGGCATATATGACTACATGGGAAAAATGACCACCCAGATGAGCACACTGCAGGTGACCGTGAATGAGATGCGAGATGAGTTTCGATCTTTTAGTGGAAGATACATGCATGTCACCGTAACTTCCGACTACCATAATGCTAGCAACACCAATGAAGAAAATGTGGATGAGGTAGAGAGGGGACAGGAGTAGGAACTTGACGATTTTAGATTGTGTGTTTTTATTGTTAAGTGTTAAAAACGATTGTGGATTGATATTATGTGGTTTTAGATTTTAGTTATGTGTGAACAATTATGATTTGTGTTTTATTGTATTTCTTGTTAGTTTGTTTAGTTGTTATGTTTTGAAGTTATGAGTCTTTGTTATCATTATTTATGACTGTTTGAAACGTAATTTGTACGAGCAAAAGAATCACTCACATCGCTTCCCAAAGAGGTCGACCATTTGCTATAAAAGGTCAACCGCGTAGTTAAACCTCACAAAACTGAAACGTCAAATTAGGTAGACCTAATCCTATATAAGGTCGATCTAAAAGTGCAAGTTACGGTGACATGCATGTCACCGTAGCAAAGTCCTATTTTTTTTCTTTTCCTATACTCAAACTACTACCTAGGATTCATTAATTTTTCTCCCAAATTTTAGGGGTGTTCCGCCCCTCCCCGCGCCCCATGATAAATTATCCGGCCTAGAACTGACCTGCCACGAGGAGGATATGAATATCGAGATACGCGCCTGACCTGCCCCATAGTCATTCCTAGTTGTGGGGTTCCCTAAAAAATTTATTGATTGGACTATGTGTTTTACAACTTAAAAGCCACTTTAATGGGGGAGTTGAATGAGAAGATTATGCAGAAATTCTTTGTAAAAAAATATTTGGGAGGAATTTAGACCAAGAAATGATTCGGTGACATGGTCAAAATGGATGGAAATCACTTGCTATTCTTAGTAATCAGTTTGTGTCCTGGCTCATCATTAAAGAAAATGTTTCAACATGGGAGAAGATATTGGCTTGGGGTATGGTTGGCTATTTGGTCCGGTTTTTTGGTTTTACCCGAAATCGGACCGTATAACCCGGATCGAGACCAATTCCTCACCCTTTCAGGCCTTAGGTCACTCAAATCCCCACAAGCTCAATATAAAATCAAGACCGAATTGAGACCGGACCGGGTCAAGACCGGACCGGATCAAGACCGGACTGTATCCAATCCAATTTTTGTCCTTATATTTTCAAAAAGATCGAACTGGACCGGATTAATTTGGGTCAATTTAACCGGACCGGACCGTATAGCACCCCTACTTGGGGTACTCAGGGTCCTCTGTCTGTGTTTTCTATAATTACAAATTGAGACTCATTCACATCTCTTCTCGGAGTCCACTAGATACAAGAAGCTCTGTTATGCTCTATTCTCATCCTTTAATTCTAAGCTCCGTACTAGTTGGGAATTCAAACCAAACCCTACGGGAAATCACGGCTTAGACCAACTTCAGACTGTAATAGCAAAATCGCGGTCTAGTGTGGTTTGTGGTCACTTCTTTTAGTAGGTGGTAGGAAGAGGTCTAGATCGTGATAAATCGCGGTTAACTGTGGTAGACCGTGACGCATCATCCACTAATTCAAATCAAAATAATACCAAGCTTCCATTTATGTATTTGGAAGAACAAACCATGAGCCTGATCAGACTGACCATGGCTAGCAAACAACATAATGTTCCTATTATAGATTTCAATACAAGCACACACAAATCTATTGATTCTTCATCCAACTGAAAACCAAAAGATTGCTCAAGCGATCTCTTATGTGTTATCCCTTAATGAAGAAACCACACAAAAAGAGGAAAAAGAGGAGAAAATCATATGCATTGGCCATGTTTAGAATCCAAAGTCGATAACATTGAAATGCAAAACAAAAATATTTACCTTGGTCGGATAAGGGAAATTTTGACAAGATAAACGACCAAAACAGTGGTTCAAAATTCCCTCAATCTCGTTACGATTGGGATCGAGCACAAAGAAACCGGAACCACCCTCAACGAGAAGAACCACAAATCCCAGAAGAAGAGCCATAACATCCAATCAAGGAGCAACAACAACAAGAACAACACCAACAACTAAAAGTGTCATCTAGAAGGTCGAGAGACCGAGTCCAAACGACAATTTCTCATCTTTAAGAGGCCCATATCTCTACACCTTTCTCTTTTATCTTCTATTTGAATAATATTCTATGTAGGATGCGACTAGTATGTGTGTGTTTTTCTATTTGAGTACTTAGTAGAACTTTTTATTTGAACCAATAGTACTTGTTGTTTAACTTTTCTTTTTTTGAATATGACTTATCTTTCTTCTTAGTTCTTTTTTGTCGTGGATGTTTCTCAACAATCGGTACCACCCAATCAAACCTCCGATTCCACAATCAACAAATCGGTAACCTTGTTCCCTTGTCCTTCACCCGTGCTCATATTGGGAAAATGTGTTTTATTTTCATGGATACCGGAGAGGAACGGAGGGAGGGAAGACTGAACTTTTTTGTGTGTGATAAGGGTGAGAAATTGATTTTAGAAGAAACAAAGAGGTCACAGGTACAAACAAAAAAAAGGAAGAGAAGAAGCAGTGACACTCACAAGAGGTGAGAGATCATTGAAACACTCCAAGAAAGAAAAAAAGAACAACAAAAAGAAAAAGTCTTTGCAAAGACCCTCCGCGAACCCAAAGCCATGCAGGACACTAGCTACAAGAAGTCAGACAAAATGGACGGCCCACACCAAAAATCCAAAACGAGAAAGAGCAATCCCAAAGCAACATCTGCTGGCCTAAAACACACCTTGCTCTCAACCAACGCATTCCATGATTCCTGTCAATCTACCCCGCAACCACGAGCAAGTCCATTGCAGATTTGATTACCTTGATACTCATTGCACTATGTGGCAAACTTGTGTCTTTAAATGTTCTTTGATTCCTCTCGCGCCAAACTTGCCAGCAAATCGCGTGAAGCAACAATAAACAACCCAACCATTCAAATTATCGGGTTTCCTGCTACTCCATCTTCGAATAAGGTCCTGAACACCACCCTGCAGCCAAGGAACATTGAAGTAGACATATTTGACTTCCTTCCACACGCCTTGTGTGAAAGCGCAATCCAAAAATAGATGATCAAGACTGAACTTTAGTTGAACATGGTCTGCCTAGTCCAGACCATACCGGACCGAACTATACAGGAGTGATATTGTCTAGTCCATATTGTATATGGTTTGGTCCATTGTATGTGTTCTAACCTCTCGATCTGAATGACAGGCCGTATATATGGTTCATCTGGTCCGAACTGCACCATTTCCCACTCCTAAAAAATGATTAATTAGAAAGTAAGAAAATGACTTGTGATTTCCCGGATATGGATATGTATGTTCTAATTCGGTCGTTCGACCACAACACGCCTTCAAACCAGAATAGACATGTGCCTAATTTTTTCATTCGCTAAAAATCCTTTGTCGTCGCTGGATGAAAATTCTCTCTCTGCAGAGTCCGCTATAGCTGGCCGACGATACTAGAAAAATAGGAACCTCTCTCTCTCTGAAAAAAGTGAGGATTGGCAAAAGGTTATTAAACGCACCCAACCCCTCCTCAGAAGTTAATTTTAATGTGGCGATTTCCCCTCCTTTGCAATAGTCGTTTGGATGGATCAATTGTAAAACGAGACAATTTGACCAATTGTTTCATTTTACAAAACGAGTCATTTAAAACGAGTCAATTCAGATTACCTGCCCCCACCCCAGACAATTGTAATTGGCTCAAAATGAGTCAATTCAGAATTCCCCAGCCCAAATTGCTTCATCCAAATTTTCTACTGCCAAACGGATCAATCTAGCACAATTGACTCAAAACAAGACAATTGTGTCAGATTGATCCATTAGAATTCTTCATCCAAACGACCCCAAGTTTTGCTACAACACTCGGAGGTTGCAGCTCTAGCTAATTGCCCAACCTTTACAAATGCGATTTCTAGGAAATAGCCCGTGCGTGGAGGTTAAATTACCCAACGAGTCCCTAATTTTTGTGTTACTTTAATTAATAAATAAAAATTACATTAAATTACCATTTCATTCTTCATTAAATAATAATATTATATAGAACCATGAGGTTAAAATGAAATTTATTTAATCAATGTGACTAGGCGCCTAGTCAGCAGATCTTATCCCCTCCGTAAATCAGTTCTCTCTTTTCCCTTTTCCTTCCAAGTTGTTTTTTATTGTGACTGTTCGTTTACCACTCTGGTAATTTCCAGATGGAAAAGGTCGAAAAAATACAGCGTCGCGCTTTTCTGGCCAGAAAAGGAAAGCGAAAGCAAGCAAATGAGAGACCTCCACCAAGCGCGAGCTTCAGCGATTAGGGTAGGGCGAGAGCGCGAGGAGAATAAATCAGAAAATGGGGAGGAAGAAGGTGGAGATAAAGCGAATCTCGGACAAGAGCAGCCGCCAAGTGACCTTCTCCAAGCGGCGGAGCGGACTGATCAAGAAGGCCCGCGAGATCTCCGTCCTCTGCGACGTCCAGGTAGCCCTCCTCGTCTTCTCCGCCCGCGGCCGCCTCTACGATTTCTCCGCCGGCGCCGGCAGGTACGTCCATCTGCATATACAGTGTTCGATAGAATTGCCTTCCTTGATTTAGTTAGTTTCTGCTACCATCCCGTGATTTCTCGCGCGCCGATTAGTGAACGAGTAGAGAGTAATAATGCTTCTGCATTATTGGCTAATATGACGGCGAGCCAGCTAGCTGGTTGCTGCGCTTCCGCGTGGTAAATGCTAATGCCCACCATCTGTATGATAAAATATCGCAAAGAAAAACTATCGTGCGTTGCGCTCAACTTTGCGGCGGGACACGTGCTCCCCTCCTCTCTACCATCCACCTGCACTCTAGTTTTCCGGTGCTGATGAGTGGAAATACATGATCCGAATCTATTAGTAAATTATTTGTCATTGGAGTCCCAACTTCTCATATTAAATCTTATTATTCTCAATCACGAGCCAATTTGATTGGAGTGAATAAGATAAGAAAATTGGCTAATTACAGCTTCCCGTTACTTTTGGATTAGCGTATCTGTGTATGTGTATATTCAATACTCTAGGCAAATAATTTAGTGTTTTCCAATGGTCATTAATTAGTTGTTTATTTAGGTCTCAATGATCTGAAATACTTGGATTTGGGGCTCAATGATCTGAAATACTTGTTTTCTATTCTTTTTTAATGAAGTCGATGTCGTTGATATAAGAAAAAGGAAGCAAAATTAGTCAAGTTCCATTACAGGGCAACCACGTAGTTGTGTATATAAACCAATTTCATGTGCAATAGGGCGGGGACCCGACCGTACCATGATTCATAGTTTTTTTTTTCTTTTCTTAAGGGCGACATTCATTTATTATTTTAGAATTAGAAATTAGAGAGTAGAGAGTTCATGGAAATTAAATCGTATATTACAAAAGAAAAAAACAAGAATATTTGTATATACATACTCTGGAAAACTTGTGAACCATAATCACTAAGCGTCGTTTGGAACCTCAATTCTAAAATCATTTTATCTAAAAATGTGTGTATTCTAACTTTCTAAGAATGCATTGCTTGGAATCTATAGAGTTGGAACCTAAAAATGGATTGATACAACTTATGGATAGTTGAATCTCACACAAAAAAAGCAAAGATTCACTATACATATTTTGTTTTTGTTTTTTGTGTATAAGAAATTCATCTTGTATTCTTAATACATGGTTTATGCATTTAAATCAAGCCAAAGAACGTATTCTGGAGGATACATGTATTTTTCAGAATATAACGTTAAGAATTGGAGGTTTCAAACGGAGCTAAAAATTTTCTAGTTTGAGAATATCACATTAAGGTCCAGAGTTCAAGGTCATACATACAAATGGACTTCCCTCTTTCCATTTAGCGTGGTTAAAGTCTCAAATCTATGAGGTAAAAAGAAAATAAGCAAATTTCCATCATGTGGCAACTACATAATAATTATCCAAACCATAGAAAAAAGAGGATTATACAACGACGACAAGCATTGAAAAAGAAATAAAAACAAGAAATAAATTTTTTGAATTGCCAAGGTGGTCACTTTGTCTCCAGAAGGAGCCAATGATCCTATGGAGATTCCAAATGAGCCTAAACCTAAAAGCAGTTGTTTCTTGGTTGTGTAGTTCTCAGTAGGTAGCCAAGAATCTACGAGGAAGATAACAAAATTCCCCCAAACAGACGAAATATCAAGAAGTCCTCAAGCATATTATCATGGTACTATAGCTAGAAGCTGCCCATATGGCCATATATATAGTTATAACCAGTGCAATCAAAAGAATTACCGAAAAAACTGCAGTCAAAAAGCATGATTCTATCTAGAAGCGTTTGGCTTATTTCTTTCGCATTCATTAATGTGCTTGAAAGTAAGGGATAGGATTTTACTTTAAGGTGGTTGTTAAAGTGGTACTAAGTTGATGCGCCTAGATAAATTAGTAAATCTTTGAGTGGAGAAAAAACTTTTTTGACACTCTTTTCATCACCCTACTAACGGGAAAGGATGATTGGTTGGTTATAGATCGCCGTGACTATGGTCTATATGATGGTGTACTAAAGTTGATGCGCCTAGATGAATTAGTAAATCTTTGCATAGAGTAAAAAAACTATTGTTTGGCCTGCAAGGAGTAAGGAAGCCTTCTGTCTTGCCAGAAAGGTGTCACCTTTGTAGAGTGTGGACAGGCCTTGAAACCTTTAAGAATCGTGGGGGATGCTTAATCTAATATCTTGAAGAGACTTAAAACGAACCCTAATGCTTTTGTGTCGTGTAACTCAGATCCTACCACTTGTTTCACTGACCATAAGGAGGAGATGCAAGTTAGCAAGAAGCATTAACTAAAATCAACAAGTGTAATACGATAGGAAGCCTTTGGACACCATGAGCTATGTTCCTCACATGATTTAGGGAACAAACATATGAGGTGTAGTGGTATTTGGCACTTGCTTAAAGTTTCTAATCTGATTCGAGAAGGTCATGGGGTGGAATGGAAATTTCTACATCTATAGCCGAGTCGTCTTAAGAAGAAGCATATCACCAAAGTGGTAGATGCATGGTAAATCAAAAAGAACTAGATGGACTAATTATGCCATGGAAAATCTTCTAAACAAGAAATAGAACATACAGATTTGATGAAAGCAAGCATTCTTAACCCCCTTGTTGTTAAGTTGACTCTCTATGTTAATTGAGGAGCCTTATTAATGGGGAGTTAGACTTTAGTGGTGGATGGAATTAGGGGTGTGCAATGGTCCGGTCCATACCGAACCAAACCGTTGTTAAGATCGGACCGGACCAGATCGAGTATAATGCAGTTCGATCATTGGTTCTCATGAATTTTATAATTAATGAAGAAATGGAGGGAACTCATATTTGGACCAGACCGAACCGGACAAAATGAACCGAATGCAAGGATGGTCCGGTCCTTGATTCTAAGATGTCTTTTACTAATAGAATTATCATGAGTTTGGTCCAGACTGAACCGAACTGTTGCACACCCCTAGATGGAATAAACCAGAAATTTTCTCAGATTTATCTTTGTGTTCTCTCTTGTTCCCTTCACCTTCTTCCCCAATCTTCCTCCTTCCTCTCTTCGATTTCCTTGTTCTTCAGTGCTCTTCTCAATGCAGCCTCTTGCTCTCCTTAGCCTTCGAAATTGGTATAATCTCAGGACTGACTATTATACCACTCTGGCTGTCACAGTGTTTTGCATAAACTTGTAGCTCTTGTCAAAGAAGACACTTTCTTAACATTGAATAGGTTAAAAGGAGAGAACTATTGTCTTTTGACTTGTTTTTTTTTTTTTTTTTGGATTCTAAGAAGCGAGGTCTTATGTCCTAGAATTGGAGAGGCAAAGCCCCTCAAAGCCTATCTGTTATGGTTCTCTGCAACTTTGAACAAGTACCCAAACAAAAGCATTGTATCTTCTAGCAATAAATCACTGGCATACACATAGGGCTTTATTACTTGAAGTCTTTGTTAGGCTGGCTTAGTTGAAGCCCATGGTCAAATTGTCCATTTATATTCAAGTTTAGTATATTGCTCACCAGATTAGATATGCATGTACTCAATTTAGTTAAAATTGTGATTTTACATAATATCGAAAACTGAGTTAAAATCGTAATCGTAGATTAAATTGTAAAATTGGGAGATTTTAAGGTTTATATTGAAATTAATATTGGGAATACCAGATAGTAATAACAACACATATCCAGAATAACAATAAACCGCATATCACTTAATTACTTTTGAAGATAAATTTTCTGCTAAATAAACACAAATAAATTCATAGACTAGTTCTTGTACATAACATAAACACATAATTAAGCAAACTAAAATCTCATATAAATTAATTACTCTAGGTTCGAGTAAAATATCATATAAGATTGTTAGGATCAACATTAAAATATAATTTCTCAACATCAAGATCCTCACCCTCATAGAATCATTGTCTATTTGATTGAGCAATAATATCATTATTCTTAGGATCACTTGAAGTACTTTTAGCCCCAACCATGTTTCCTTGTCTCTATCATCCGAGAAAGATAACTTTTGATTTATGCACTCCCTTCTTGATCGAATGAAGGTCGGGAATGATAACATTGAAGGTTTGGGAGAGGAACAAAAGCTTGCAAGGGGATGGGATTGGGCTAATTGCGAGTATGATGGGGATATAAGTAACGAGCTAATTGGGAGGGTGACAGAGATAATTGTTGATGGAAGGAGTTGGGGGGTTTGACGTGAGGTAGAGAAAAAGATTAGGAAGTTAACTTAAATCAATCGAGTATCACCTTTCGGGTTAAGTTTGTGTTGTCCATGATATTGGGTTGGGGAAAGTGAACTTGATCCGCCCCGCCTAGCATGATTTTGCTTCAATTGACATGATCCTTGAAATTCAACAAAATCGTATAAATAATAGATTTTAAGGATTGTATAGTTTTAAATTGAGATTTTATGGGATTTCAAGGTTTAAAGAATTTGTAGTAAAATCTGAATCACAACTCATAGGTAACATCATGAAATCATATGATTTTAAAGGTAAAAACGAAATTTTAACTATATTATATGCAGTCACTTTTATCAATGCAAGTTTCACTTCAATGGAAAATGAAACGAGCTACAATTTTCAGGATGGATGATTGGATGTGTTTAAAGAGAAGGATGGAATAGCTAACCCACTATGAAAATTATAATGTTGTATAGACGAGGGAGGAAACATATAATTCTCCCAAAAGCAAAACATTACCAATTTGTAGGTTATGTTATGCAGATGTGATTGCTCTTTTTTTTTTTTTCCTCCTCGATTCATCTCTCTCTGAGTTCATACCTGTTATTATACAGCTTGACTGAGATTCTAAAGCGATATCGGAGCCACACAGAAGCTGAAGCTTCTAAAGCTGTTAATGATGCAGAGGTGATCAACCGTTACTTCTGTGTAGAGAAAGCGTACAAGCTTCCCTATTGATCAGTATAACCTTTGGTTTACCATGTCAGCGTTGAAGTAACCGTCTTGATCACATTTCATGTACAGAGTACCAATGATGAAGTTGCAGCAATCTGCCCCACTGTCCTATTGCAAATTGTTCAGAGGTAACCTTTTGCTTTTCCTATACCAACCTAGCCCTGAGGCTGGAATCTTATAGTGGTGGCATTGCTGCTATTTGCAGGTTTGTGGTTGAAAATCCAGCTGATGTACAGCTGACCTTGGATGACTTTGTACTGCTAGAAGAACAACTTGATTTGACTCTGAAACTAATAAGAGCTAGAAAGGTAGGTTTGTCCTGCTTTGACTTGGGACTCTACTACTTTGCTGCTTCTTGAGTTCTAATTGCAACATGAATCATAAGCCTGCTTAGTTTATCATGGTAGACATTGAGTTTCTACTGCTCCGATGTTGAACGACACTAACCTTGTCTGGCATATATCGCGAGTAATTTGGTTGCTGATGCATGGCCCTATCAGTGAAATTTGCTACTAGCCTACTACTATGAATCTTGTATTCACCTCAAAACTAATACTTAAGACGAATTTACTTGAGATCATTGTTTGATAGAGTAATTATCATTTTGAAACTACGATTGCACTAGGGTATTCATTGCTCTTAATTTCGTTTGTAGAAGGAATTGATGCTGCAGCCATTGAAGACCCTCCAGGAAGAGGTACCAACTCTCAGACATCTCTAAAGTTCTTTCTCCCAAGTTGACACGATCTCTCGACTTGCTTGACTACTGGAATCGCGACAACTACTTCTGCAGCTGGAGGCATGGTTTTGACATCAAAGCATGCTAGTTGCCTTTCTAGATTACCCAGTACTTTCTTTACATTTGAATGGATGGTGAATCGACCTAGTGAATTTCCATGCATGGGCACTCGCCCTGATTCAGTCAGTCACCCATGTGACTGATGTTAGTGTCAAACTTAAGTTGTGCCACAGCTGCTCCCCATGTTGTAGGCAGAGTGATACGATCCCGTCTTAATACTTGTTTGGTTCTACAGCGATGGTAATACTTACTGTTTTCTTTTGCCCTGCTCTTTTCATGTGCGCCATCCAACTTCTTGCTAACATGCCATTCTTCTTCTTTCAGGAAACGAAGCTGAAAGAGGAAAACGAGGTCCTGAAACAGCAGGTAAGACCTTAGAAGTCTATGTCCAAGTCCCCATAACATACCTGAAAGCCTGTTTAAGATGAAAAAGCATCGTAAGCGTTTATGTAGCGAAGGAATAAGCTATGAAATCTTAAGTAGTGTACTCACAGATTGCAGCAGCCATGGAGGAAGACGCTGGGGATGAAACCAACGCGGCTATGGGTACTATTGGAGGCTCGGAGCATGACCCCGTTCGACCAGAAACTCTGCAGTTGCTGCTTTAGGTTGCTCGGCCCGACCACATCATGTCATGCCAGCAGCAGACACCTTCAACCTTCTGCAGAGACTAATGTCCTATACTGTTTATGAGCGAGCACCGCAATAAGAGAAGTTCATGGTTGTGGATCAATGTCCAATAATAATTGTCTACCCTGAATGCCACAAACTCAATAAAAGCAGCAATCTGGTGTTCAGCTTGGTAAATTTACCAGAAATATGTACCTTCAGATGATAAATGACCAAATATAAGGCTTCTTATTTATGTATTATTATTAGGGGTGGGAAACGGTGTGGTCCGGTCCAGACCAGACCATAGATACGGTCTGTGGTCCAGATCGAGAGGTTGGAACATAAACCATGGACCAGACCATATACTATACGGTCCAGACCAGACCACACCTGTGCGGTGCGGTCCGGTATGGTCTGGATCAGACAGACCATGTTAAAAAAAATTAACTCTTGTTCGCCCTCCAACCCTTCACCGGTGTCTATAAAAAAAATCTAGTGACCAACATGCTAGTGAAACAAAAAAAATTTTGTTCGTATTAAATGAGAAGAAATATGAGGATAGAAGTGGGTTTTTTCAATTTTCAAATAGCCTTATTTCCAAGGTTGTCAAACCGGTTTATACCGTTGTGCCGATTTGGCAAGTAGAATAGTACAACCGGTGGTATAACCAGTTTGTGTCGGTTCATGCCGGTTTAAAAAAATATGAAAACAATTAATATCCAATGTATTTAATCATATATAAAACATATTTGTGGACAATTTAGTTACAATCCAACAAATATCATCATCTTTTAATTATTATATTCATAAAATAAATAATAAATTAATTTTTTTATTCATTAAGTTGATTAAAATGATGTCATTAAATTTAGAATGCGTAAGTCGATCATACCGGTCATACCGGTGGTGTCATGCCGGTTTCATGACCGGCACAGGTTGAACCAGGTTGAACCGGGTGGCATGCCACCGGCATGACAACCATGCTTATTTCCCTATTCCTCTTTGTGCTCCCTCTTCTCTCCTCTCTCGAGCGATCCGAAGGTTCTCCCAATTGATAACCTTTTTGATGACGTCGAGGTAATTTCGAACCACTAAGATTGTCGCATATCTCTCAATAATTTTCCTTATCTCATCAAGGTGAACGAATTTTTTTGTAGTGTTTAATTTTTATCGACTCCATAGTCTAGACATTATCTGTGAATATTATTTATGAGTCTTTCTAATTTTTGTGTGGTACTTTGATAAGGAGATAACATATAAGCGATCATTTTGCAATTTGTTGGCTCTCAACTAGATGAAGAATCAACTAACTTTGTTCTTCAAATACACATATGGAGGTTCAATTTAGTGTTATTTTTGTCCAAGGTAGTAGGTAGTGTGTCGCGGTCTGTTACGGTTTACTGCGGTAGACCGCGGTCCAGACCACTTCAGACCACGCACTAAAGAATGAGACTGCAAACCAGACCAGACCATAATTCTGGTCTCACGGTCCAGACCAAACCATACGATACGGTCTAGACTGCGGTTTTCCATACGGTTTGGTCTGGATTCCCAGCCCTAATTATTATCACCTTTATATTATATATGTATATATGCTCACTATGGACAGGTAGTTCTTGCAGGGGATGTCAAAATACACAATATCATTATATTTTGTCATATCTTGTTTTAGAAAATAGAATTTTTTAAAACGAAGGTTAGTGTCACCTCACCACCTACGATTAATCATCTAATCCACTAACCATTGCATTCCACCCAACACAATTACTAATTTGCTCCTACATTTATTTAATAGAAAATCTCCAATTATATATATGATCACCATCTTTTTATACGAGTCGAAGACATACTCGACAACCAAAAAAAAAAAAAAAAATCTATTTGATGATATTAGTTGTAAAATTAATGAGATAAACTTCATCAATTATATTAATTAATTTTTAAAAAAAATTAGACTACCGTTTCATCAAACGTGTTTAATATGTTACTTCTAATCTTCTTTTGTCTTCTTACTCCATTGGAAAATCAGTATTGAAATAAAATTTAGACGAATTTACAATGAATTCTATGATATCAACATAAAATTTATAATTACAAATAAACTACATCAATCCAAATGACCAATTAATCCAAAATAGTTTAATTATGATGTCAAATAATTACTGGAAAATTAACCCGGTCAATGGTGGGGGAAAAACCTAGTATTAAATATACTATTTCTGTGACCTAAAAAGGATTCTTATCCTTTCTACCAAAATTAAAACGATTCTTATCATTTATCAACCTAAATTCAAGTAATTCATTAAAAAAACAAATATGTTCCATAAATGTCCACTACCCGTATAAGGTTATTCACTTCATTTTTAATGAAAATAATAATATTGAAAACCGAATCAAAGTCGTTAATTTACCTACTGCTATTTCATTTGCAGTCATCTCAGCAGGTAGAAGAACTGGGATTTCTCGCTGCTATAATCGCTAATGGAGATTAAAGAAAATATATCAAAATCAAACTGTTCCTATAATCTAGTTTGACAGATGGAGCAAGACAATACAGACAAGCAGAAAGAAATTAATAATTTACCTTTGAGCTGAACTCCTTACATTTTATTGGTTTCACCTGCAGGAAAGTGGGATGAGAGCAAATGAAGAACCAGGCAGGTGGTGTTTTTTTTTTATAAGAACCAAGCTGGCATAGTGAACATGACAGAGCTTTGTTTTTTTCACTCGAGAGTTCCTTCGCTGTAGGGAATGGACAAAGCTGAATCCTTTTTATTCATTGGGAACCCCGAAAACCAACCAACGGCCCGTAACGCACCGCAGCTCTTTCTCTGTCATTTGTCTTTTGGGGAAGATTATAAAAACATTTAATTAAAAAATATCTTAGAAAAACATATATTAATCCTTTGGGTTTAGGACACGTGGCTGGTAAATCAGCAATGCCAGTTGTCCGGTGCAAATGTGCAATACGGATAGAGAACTGGTGCAATTTTGTAAAAACATCACTATCTCGTATTGATAACTATAATTCTTCACAAAAATTGTGCAAATATGATTTTTTAATCAGATATATTACGAGGTAAAAAAGACAAATATGTAAAAAAAAAAAAAAACCACGTTAACACGGTAAAACTTTAAACTGGTAGGGATGGCAATTTTGATCTGACCTGTTTGACCTGTTTCAGGCTAAGACAGGCATGGATACTCTCGTTAACAGGACCTTCCCTAATCCATCACATATTGCATGTAATCTTAGTCAAATTACTTAGGAATTTCTTTTTATTACAACATATTTTAGCTATAATAAAGTTGTAAATTAGTGAAAACCTCAATTCTCCAATAATTTAACTACACTTATCATATTATGGTTTATTTCTTGGTCTTATAATGAAATAACGAGTATTTCTAATATTTTCCATATAAATTACATATCCATTGGATCAACCTGTCCCGACCTGTGTTTCATGGTAAACTACCCGACCTGGGCCATACTTGTCACTGAGCAGGTTGGTATCGAGATACCCGCCCCTGACCTACCCCATTTCCATTCTTATAAGCTGGTAAGGTATTAAATATACAATATTATTATTAATAAATATTAAACGCTAAAAGGTACTTTGGACCTTGGCATATGATTCCGTGAGGAGGAAAAATACTTGGGGGGATGGTAAGTAGTGAAAGATGATCGGGATGCGGTAAAGCTATCCGACCCCCAAGCATATCCTCAAAGGGCACTCTAAATTCGTGAGAATTTGTTGCCTCCCACGTGAGCCCCATTTTCAAAAGATGTTTCACTCCTTCCTTTCTTTTCTAATACACACAAACTTGTAAAAGTTTTGAGTTCACTAGACATAAAAAGAATCCCGCACACATGTTCTTCCTAAAATCGCACATATTATCAACTCACAAGAGATGAAGAAGATAGTAAAATTACTCACACACCGGTTCTCTAATCATGCAACTATCACCTAGCGAGCACAACACATCAAACATCTAAAAAATCAAAGCATATTGAGTAGGGAGTTGCAAGGAACAAGGTGTTTTGGAACCCTCGAATTTGAAAAAAGTGGGTAATAGCATTCTAGATTCCAAAACACTATCATTTGATCATTGATCGCCACAACACAAACACAATCGCTAGCACACACTCCCATAAGTATTCATCAACGTCTCACATTCATAAAGAAGGGAGGATTCGAGCAATATATGGTTCAACCAATCATGATATTCATTCAAAAATTCATACACATCCCCCCCCCCCCCCCCCAACACACACACACTTGAGCAACACATTGTCCTCAATGTGAGAGTTTCATAAGAGAGGATTGTGACGGCTACCATAGGTTTCGGTTGTGGTTTGGTGAAGGTACACAAGTGTAGGTCTTTGTCTTCTTGGTGGTTTTCACAACGATGAAGCGCATACGATAGAGAGGATGAAGATTAAGCGTCATATGTACGATAGATATATAATATAAGGACGAATACTACTAGTACTAGAATATTTATAGTACAAAAATGAAAAACAAAAAATTAAGCGATAATTAAACATTGTTTTAATTAAGATAAAGAAAAGCAAAGAAAAAAAAAAGATAAACTTAGACCCTGGATGCCTAGTACTCAATCCTACTCGGAGGGTTCTTCTTCTTCTTCTTCTTCTTCTTCTTCTTCTTCTTCTTCTTCTTGTAGTGGTGCAAGAGGAGTGGAGCGATCAAATTGGGTCGGTGGGAATGTTCATCTTCTTCATGATCGCATGGAGACACGCCGTAATATGTAGCCTTGTTTCCTTCTCCCTCTCTTGGTTGTGAAGGATTGCCGCTATCATCCCTTCAACTCGGTAGTCCCTTGCATTGTTGAGCTGTTGGTGAACCAGTTGAGGAGTGGGTATGGCTGACTCTCCACCTTCATATATGCTCTCCACTTGATCTCCCTCGGTTGCAAATCCTCTTTGCTCTCTTGGCATCCTAACTTCCGGAAGACGTAATACGGTTCCTTCCATGTCCAATGTATTAGAGGTTGGAAATGGAAGTCCCAGTACTCCCAAATGCCCCCGTCGTTCATATGTAGAACTTTGAGTTTCGACTTCAAGACTTCAAAGGATAAAGGAGTTATCCTAGTATCCAATCGAAATTGGACGAACCCGAAGTCGATTTGGAAAAACTTGGCTAGACGAGTGACAAAAACTCCCCCGTGTAGTGCGGCGAGCCGATGATCCTCTCATAACGCTTGAAGATAGATAAGATAGCCAAACCGAGATGTAGAGATCAGGGTAGATGCATACTATAAAAGAAGGTGGCATCTCGGGCAGTTAGGTTGCCTTTGCTCCAGTTCTTTCCTCCCACGAACCTAGCAATCACGTGGTGAATGAGCCGCCACTCTGGTTTCACTTTGATTGCTTTAGATAACTTGACATCTCATTGTATACTATCGCCAATTATACCCCGTATTCGTTCCTTTGAGAAAATGTTAGTATATTAAACCATCTACAATGGAGTGCTAAAAATTAAGGCTAAATTGCCAAATTTGGCACTTAATAAAGTGTTTCTTTATTTTTATAATTCTACAATTGTTTTTATATAGTTATTCATTTGGTGTAATTTTTTAAAAAATTTGATATTATTTTTTGTCAATAAATATGACGTCATCAATGACGAAAATACAGTGGCTAGTGGCAATGACCACATATTTATCACTTGTTTGTCAAAGTCATCAACTGTTCATTCAACTTTAAACATAATATCTTGTTCCATCAATTTTCATTCAACTTTAATCAGAGTGAGTTGTATCATCAACTCTTCATCCAACTTTAAACATAATGTCTTGTTCCAGCAATTGAACTATGGATGGTATGGATGATGAAGATCCATCCATTGATGGAATGTCTTGTACGAGGGTATGGAATTGTTCCATGAATGTTGGATACTTTTCGAGTATTTCCCAACACTCAGCGAACTCGAAATCTATTTTGGTTTGGGCTCTGAAAAGAGCATGAACAAGCTAGACAAGTAGTTAAAAAATGTAAGTAAATATAAACTTGATTACATAAAAATTTATCACAAACGTAATAAAAATAAGAATTTTACTTACAACGTAACTTTCATTGGACCCACTCATTGGTGATGCATTTGCTATCTTCAACACTCTATTCCAAATCATACAATTACGTTTTAATCTTCTTCCATCTTGTTAATACCCCACTATCGGAACGATCATTTCTCGTGCCTTCATTGTTGAATGCTTCTGTAATTCGAGCAATAAACTCCGGCTGGGATAGATAACGACCGGCCGCACCATCCTCCAAAATGTGAACCCAAATTGTGCTAAATTCTTATCTTCACCTGTGGTCCAATTGGGTTGACGAGTAGCCATGATGAGAAGTTTAAGAGGAAGACAATTGAGAGAGTAAGAGGAATGTAGTGAGAGATTGGTATTTGATGAGAGGAAGAGGAAAATGTAGTTGTGGTGTAATAAAAAGTGAAATATATGTGGTGGTATTTATAGAGAAAATTTGAAAAATATACTTGTTGGAGAAAAAGTAATCGTTGGGGGAGAAATTTTTCAGGGGGATGATATGCAATTTGGCATATCAACAAAAAAAAAAAAAAAAGGAAGGACGTGCACTTGAGTAGCACGCGCTCCCTGCCCTCTTCCCCTTCGCACGTTTTGCGCTCCCACTTCTCCCTTGCATTTCTTTTGATAGGGATGGCAATGGGTCGGGTCGGGGACGGATAGTGCATATCCGTTACCCTACCCAATGTAGTTCGAGTTTTACCCATACCCACATAAGACATGGGTAGAAAATAAAAACCATACCCATACCCGTTCGGATTTCGGATATCCACAGTTATCCATGGGTAATAATTTCTTTTCATCACTCCAACCAATATGTTAACATTCACATGTATTCTCACATTACGGAAGAGAAAAGTACGATAACAATTCACTAGAATGAAGAAAATTAATTAAAACAACACAATTTCATGAAAATATTATATTTATATGCTAAATATAAAATATGTTAGAGAAAAATAATGATTCTCTTGACAAAATACATATGTTTGTGTATAATCGGGCGAGTTCGGGTTGGATAGTGAGAAACCCATGCCCACCCATTATCTGCAATATTCAGGTTCGGGTTTTACCCATACCCACTAAAAGTCCTTCGGGTTCGGGTTTATCCTACCCGAGTAGGTCGGATTTGAGCGGATATCCACGGTTATGGATATTTTTGCTATCCCTATCTTTTGCATTTTAGCCTTTTTTGTCTTTGTGATCCAAATTTGGCCCCAAACTCCTAAAATTATACACTTCGACTTTTTAGCACTTGTCATTGCAGCCCAAAAGTGCCAAAATTTGGCACTTTACCCCTCCCATTGACGATGGTATTAGGGTGTATTGGATGGTATGAATATTTTCGATACAAAATTATGCACAAATGTAGAGAAATGCTAGAAATTCAGTCACGACCAACGCATGAAAGATCACAGACGGAAACATAGGGCACGAAACTGAGGAGCGAGATCGCAGCCTATATGCCAATGATCACGACCACGAAAATGGAGGTCTCAGGGGCAAAGCTTGGAGCAGCCAATAAGGAAGGAGCAAAAAGTTTTGATAGTCGGCACGACCTTCTTTATCTGAGTCCACGAGAAAGATCGCAGCCACGAGATTCGAATCGCGACCGTGAACTAGGGTTGAGAAGTTCCCAACTTCAAAACGCAATACGGCAAGCTCAAGATCGTGGCTTTCCCTCCCAAGATTGAGGCCGCAAACTTTTCCCCATTGAATGTGAACTTGCGCGAATCCTAGAAATCTATAATAGGGGGTTCCTCTCCCCTACTTGGAGAGATGAAATTGATTGAAGATTTCTAGTTTGAAGATAGAGAAAGTTAAAGAGAAAAGCTGAAGGAAGGATAAGAAGAGAAGGAGGAGGAGAAGAAGGAAGTGAGTTCTCCCACATCAATTCTTCTTCTGTTTTCTTCCATGTATCTTCTTCCACCCTTTATCGGGGAAAAAATCCAAAATTACCACTGTTTTAAAAAAAATTTACAAAAGTACCACCCATTCCGAGGAAATTCCAAATCTACCACTTTTTATTAAAAACCGCTCCACGCAGGGGCGGTTTACCATGGAACCGCCTGCTAGACAAGCGGTTTGTCTTTTTCGGTAAAAACACCCTCCGAAGGAGCGGTTTTTATGGCTGCCCTAGCACAAACCGCGTCCTTTGGGAGCAGTTATGTGTCGGCAAGGTAAAATGCTCCCCAGGGAAGCGGTTTACATTGTCGACACATAAACGCCCCCCTCCCCAGCGGTTTGTGCCTCGTCACCCGACAGCCGACATGTCGGCATGCAGGAGGTTGCAGGGGTGGGGGCTGCATGCCAGACTAAAACCGCTCTCACTCCCCCCCCCCACCCAACGACGGTTTCCAGTGTAAAATTTGCCTGTAAAAGGCAGGTCTAGAAAACTCAAAATCATCACTCCACTCCTTTTTCTTCTTCAAATTTCAGTTGTGCACCTTTAAATTATTTAGTTTTTGCGTTAACGTTAATTCATAAGTTTGTTTTGTATTACTTTTCATTGTCATTTGTGATTTTTATGGTAGTAACTTAATTACAGTTTTATTGCATATGGCATTCCAAAAGTTTACGCTTTGGTTACGGTGGAATGGTTACACGGAAGAGACCGGAAAGGGCGTAAGTTACGTGGGTGGAAGTTTTTATAAAATGAAGGTCCGTACGAGACCGATGCTTGAAGAGCTCCATCAGATGTGCACTGAGGTTACCTGCATGGATGGCACTAGAAGAGTTGATCGTATGGTGTATCGATATCCAAACAGACATGGCGGGTCATTGTGGAATGAGGAATTCATCATTACCACTCAAAAGGACGTTGATGACATGGTCCAATTTTTGACCACCAATAAGATTAAACAAGTGTAGATATTCGTTTACACTGAGGCGGTCGAAGGCGGTGTAGGTCATTCTGGAGATGGCCAAACATCTGGTATCCACGGTTGAAGTGTATTATATGCAAATCATCCCCACAAGGAGTACCAAGACCGGAGCTGGAGTCAGGAGTATCATGATGGAACTAGAGGTCATCATCAATCCTTCCCAGCATATGAACAAGAAGCTCAACAGGAGGATGAGAACCAACAAGCAGGCTACCAGTACCAACCTGAGTACAACTTCTACCAAAGCGGCGTTAGTTACCACAACTACCATTACGGAGCTGATGAAGGTGAAGGTGTCTTTTCCAAGATATACACATAATTTCATAAAACAAACATACTCAATTGATTAAATAACATTTTAAACGAATAATAATTTAAAGAGATACATATTCAAAAATTTGAAATTAATAAAATTAATTTTGTACACATACACATAAATCGTATTGGTTGTTTTAAATAATTTAATCATATTGGCTGTTTTAAATAATTTAATCGAATACAATGCAACACTCGTTAGACTCTTAGAAGAGGTATACATCATTTTCGAAACACATCCTTTTTGACAGAAAAAGGGGGATCCGAGGATCGCTTAAAACCCGATTTTTCCCAGAAAATGGGAGGATCATGATAATCGCTTAAAACCCCATTTTCTTAGGCATGCATCTCTTTATAAATAGTCTAAGTAAGTGGCGCTATGTATTCGATTAAATTATTGAAAACAACTAATACGATTAAAAATGATCAAATTTATTTTATATTTCACTAAGTACATTAACAAATTAAAAGAAAGACAAATGATGAAGAATTGTATGTACCTCGTGATCATTCCAAATATCCCTTGAGCGATGGTTGGGTTGGCCGTACAAAACGGTTGGATCACTAGGTCCTTGATCAACATATTACTGTTGGCTGTATATATCCACGTCGTCCCCAACATACGAGAGAATAACAACAACGTTAGTACATAGATCAATTAAAAAGTTTATAACAACAACAAAAATTTGGTAAAATGAGTACGTACCGCTTGAAATTCATCTTAATAAACTCTCTCTTCTTGGAACCACTCGTCCATTTTTTCGCGAAAGTCTGACAGAGATTCGGCGGGTTTTGAAGGAAAAAGCAAAAGAAATGTTTTCTGATGGCAGATCGGATTAGCCGCAACCAACAGACCACTATTTCCTAGGCTTTTGGGATGAGAGGGGGATGGATAGAGAGATAATTTTAGAGAGAGAGAGAAGAATGGGTTGTGGTGTGAAAAAATAAAGAGGGGGAGGGGGTATTTATAGTCTTCAGACCGTACCCTCCAGGGGCGGTTTTGTAATTTTACCATTACCGAAACCGCACCTAGATGGAGCGGTTCACAGAGTCTGATGCGCAAACCATTCGCCAGGCTCGCGGCCTTCGATCACTGACGCGGATCGCTGCGCTGGCGTGCGGTTGGCATTTGGATCACCGTCTAATCCAACGGTGCTGGGGACCGGCGCGTCGGGAATAAGGACCGCACGCTGACGATGCGGTTTTGGGGATGCCCTAGCGAGGACCGCTCCCTCGTTGTGCGGTTTCTACATAAAACGCACCTTGAAAGGGGGGGGGGGGGGGGAAGAAAGGTGCTATTTTTGGTATTTGTGTGGGCTGGATGCTATTTTTGTAAAAAAAAAATTAAAAGGTGCTATTATTGGAAAAATCCCTAGTATAGGGCAAGGGTGGCATCCCGAAGTACCTTGCTTTTATCTTAGTTTTTTCCACTAGTATCTTTTAATCAACCTCCAACCCAATACCTAAACCGGTAGTGAGAAGTAACCTAGGGTATCGAAACCCGTGGAATATGACCTTGGTAACCACTATACTAGCAATGTCATTCTAAGTTATACTTCTCATAATAGGGTAATTAGGAAAGGTGTGCAATCGATTGACAACACGCGCAAGAGGGTGGTAGAAAGCCCATCACCAGCTTTGTTAACAGAGAGAGGTAGTTTCATGTTGTTTACGGAAACAACAAAATATTGTTTCACCTTGCTTAGAGAATGACAGAAAACGTTAATTACTAGTCAGCGCAAATGATAAAGTCAAGCTTTCCGCTCACTTTTTCATATTCTAACTAACTAAGCTAAAATCCTCCTTTGAGATGGAAAGTCCAAAGTACGCAGACAGACGAGTTACTTGGATACTTTTCCTGATATCACTTTTCTCATATTTTCAACAAACAAAATAGTTTTTTCTTATGAATGAGGTGAGATATTCGAATGACATTACTCACAATTTTTTTTTAGAATGAATACTTATAATTACGTCAAGTTGACAATCATTTGGTCAACCGTTATTTATAATGGTTAAAAAATCACTGTGACATAAATGGCACACAACTATCATACGTTGAGACATTTTTGGAATATTGAATACGTTGTGACACAAGTGGTATTTTTTGGATAGTTCGGGTGTTGTAATGGTATTAACCCTATTCTTTAGTAAGTATAATTTAGTCCTTTAATTTTCTCTTGTACCTAAATTTCTCTTTTATTAAATATTTTAACCTTTTATACTATTTGAAAACAAATGAATCGATATTTATTTCAATTCAAAATGAATTATTGAGCAACATATGTTTTCAGATTAATTTCTATCTTTGCAAATTAATTTAACTAAACTCCGATCATTTTTGGAACATATTTATAATTTAATAAAATCAAAACGGTCCCAAATTTGCTCTAAATTTAATAACTAAATTATAACTTTGATTTCAAACAATCTATTATCATTCCGGTTTCAATTTTAAAATTCGGCAAAATTTCAGCCAAACAGATTTTCACGCTTTATTTCTCAGAAAGCGATAGGTTCATTTCCTTGAAGATTTATTTTTTGTTGCTAAAACTACAGAAAGAAAAATGAAAGTCAACGGGACGCAATAAACAAACTAATACTTACAATAAAGGTAGTCTACAAACTAATATGTTGATTGAGCTAAGCACTGGTTACCACATTGGGAACAAAAAAGTTAACGTATTGTATGCTTCAACCCATAATGATACTGATTTTAGGTTTTCTCTAGACTAGACATATGAGTTATTTAAATGACGCATCATTAACCTTAAGATTTAAGGCAGTCTCCATCTGATTAGACTCTAGGTATTTCTGCATAGCATGACCTGACGTTAGCCCTCTAGAGCGGAATAGCGCAAGGTAGTTTTTGGAAGCGGATTCTTGGATGACGATATATATCCAGTCAACTTTGAGGCGAGTGCAAGTCGTAATTAGTGGTGGAACCAAAAATCTAATCGACATGAACAATCTATGGCACACAAAGAAAACAGTTTATATATATGTGGAGCAAAATTATTGTTCAACAGAGATAGAAACACAGCACACAACGAAAAGAACACAACTTGCTGAACCGTTTTCCTTCTTCCCCTAGGATATATAGTTCTAGCGTACTGCAACTTGTTCCAGATCAGAGAGAGAAATATAGACCAAATAAAATGGATTCAGACTCGGAGAGAAGACAAATTAAAAATGTGTGCTTAGATGAAGCTTCTTATGCTGCTGCTGCTGCATTATGACGTTCCATGCATCCCAGCCAATGGAGGTTTTGGGCCATATAGGTCACGGTAACCATCCTGGCATGTAGTTATTCACACTGGGGCCAGCCGTGGCTACTGTCAAATCCGTTAATATTTGATCTGCCTGATATCTGCACTCAAAACATTCCAATCAGCAAAGTGTGATGGTTAAGGGAACAATTACACTACAGAATTGCATCATCATGCACAAACAATCAGCTAGTAACAGCATCAACACTGTCAAGCAGAATAGAAATCTGCAACCTAGTAGCCAATTAGGTCAAATGTGGAATTAACTACAGGTAATTAAAAGAAATGGCATTGGGAAAGAAAGAGGGGTTAAGGGTTAAGAAAAGGGAGTCTGAGAACATTAATTACGTACCCAATATGCAAACTGGGTTCACAGTCCAAGGGATGAAAGAAGTCATCACCCTGCGGCTGATGATGAGCTTGGTGTCTGCCATAGTCTTCTGGACCAGGGTTCAACTGCAGCGTGTTGTTTATTTGGTACCCTTCCATCAACTGCCAAAGCATATAGAAAGTCGAATAAGAAACCATTCATTTTCTCCAATTATTGGGTCAGTTTGGCTGCATTGAGAGAAATCCCAATAGCCAGAATTCGGATTCCAGCTGCATGCCAAACCTATTTGGTACCCTTTTAGCCACTCCAAAACAATGACCTACAACGTGGAACTAAAGGTCACCTACCCTTTGTTTCAGGGTCTTATTTGCCTCATCTAGCAAGTGCTCCTGCACATGATAAACCCAATTTTTTTTTTGAACAAGTAAAACCTGGGGCAGAATCAAGAGACACCAAAAATATATTGAGGAGAAAGTGTTGGATTGTACACAATACCTTGCGCTGTAAATCAGTGAGCTGGTCTAACATGTACTGGGTCTGTAAATACAGTAAAACAAAAAAGGTGAGATGCAAAATGTGAAATTACCACAAATGAGTAAAATGTTACTCAATTTGTTTCCATTACATACTCTTGTTGATCTGATCTGCTTCAGTGACATGTCAAGCTGCCTTTCAAGTGACTCCAGCTCTTTTGTGCTCAGAGGGCCTAAGTCTTCTCCCAGCAAGTTCCTGAAGTGTGAAAAAAGGAGAAGCCACCACCATGAGTCCAGTTCCAAAGCATTGGCTAACAATTAAAAATATATCAGTATCTATATTAACTAGATTTAACACGCAATCTATTTTCATTCTGGATTCACATCCCATCGAATTGGACCAAACTCATTAGAATGAAAACCGTTAAGATCGAGGTACAATACATTCCTCCTTGTTTCTCGAATTTAAAACGTTTTTTATTTCATTTCATGAATATCATTAATCGACAAAATGAATCGATACGAAATCAAACCAGATCAAACACACTTTTTATTCAATACTAATCTCTTTTTTTTTCATATCCCGTTCGATTCATTACCGAACCGGAACATGCAGCTAGAGTTTCACCTGTCTTGATTAGGGCAAACATGAGGCTTATTAGTTATTATTGATTAATCTTAGTAGTAGTTTACCTTTGAGACCTTTGCAGCGCCTCATAGCGGGCTTTTAGCTTCAGATATTCCTGCTGACTGCTTAACTCCTGCTGGCCGTTGACCCAGAAGTAAAGAAACAATTCAAGGCATTAATTAACGATGCAACTCATCAAGCTTTATATAAGATTAATTGATGTTCAATAGGGAGAAACATTTTACCAGGGCTTCCCTAGCTGAGACAGTGGATTCTTGTGCTCCATAGTTACATTTCTGGTACCTCTCCAAGGTTTTTAGCATGCTGAACAAATGAAAAGGACAATTACGGTTTATGCGCCAGCACCATGATTAATAATCCATAGATTTAAAAGACACATAAATGTGTTACCGTTTCCAACTAAACAAAACAATTACCATTTGCAACTAGACAAACCAAATATTGAACAGATACTAGGGTGCTTGGTTTTACCATTTGCAACTAACAAAGCAAAATAGGAAACAAATACTTAGTGGTTAAACATTTGCCTCTAAACAAAGCACATATCAAACAAGTACTAGGTGGTTTGAACCAATTAACCAAAGGTTGATTGCACACCACAATCTCTTTGGGGAGAGGGTAAATTTAGTTTTGTTGATATCGTCTAAAAATTCACAACTCTAGAACATTAATCTAAGTAACAATCCCTTTGACAGATCGTACAATTTAACATTCAATCATCCATCTAAAGAATTTCTTTAAACTTTTCTCCTTTTTCCTCAATATAAGAGAATATAAGCTAAATTATTTATTAAGATCTACGCTATCAATAAAGTAAAAGTCGATCTCACCAGGAGAAAGATCGATAATCAACCCATCAGACTTTTGTATTTTTATCAACACAATATATTACAAAAAATGTTAAAATCAATCCTATGAGACACTAGATCAACTAAAAAATTTGTCTGATTAGACTTGGTAATAAATTTAAAGTACTCTGAAGGATAAGAGTGAAGAAAAAACCCACAAGTTATGGTTGAGAAACAATGGTGATTATCAAGAGGGAAATAGAACATATCCTTTGGATATTAGACTGAACCCTAAAAACCATCATTCAACCTCCAGTAGTGGTACTACTACTGCGACAAAGACCTATTCAAATGCATCATATCAATTTCTCAGATCTATTCAACAAAAAAAAGTTTCTCAGATCTGAAATTGTGTGAAAAATAGAGAGAGTGAGGGATCAGAAGCATTGAAATCTGCTTGTGATGTGAATAAGAGAACAGAAAAAGGGGGAAATATAAAACCCTAATTAATTAATTGTTCTCTTACACCTTGAAAACCCTAAAACAGTCCCATCTCTGCCGCGCTTGCGTGTGGATAAGGGTTTAAATTTACCGCCGGCGCCCAGAAAGGAGCTAGCCCAAGATCCGACGGAAATATAGAAGAACTTCCGCCATGAAAAAGCGGAAGAAAAGAACAGAAGGAAAAGAAAGATCAGCAGACCGCAGCCAAAATGTCCTGAATTTCTTTCTTGATTGATTGATTGAAAAGAGATTTAAACTTGGTAGGATCATCTAATTTTATTTCCAAACAAAAGCCAATAAATTATACCAATAAAGTGCTTGAATTTGCTCTGAGGAAGAAGGTTTGAAAGCCCATCAAAAAAAAAGAAGAAGGTTTGAAAGCAATAGAACCATAGAGAACAGCTTCTAAAATCAGCAGATTTCTGCAGCTAGTTTCAACTTAGAGCCGAAAGCTCATGGAAGAAAAGTAAGCAGAGAGGTGGGAGAGGAGGAGAAAAAAAGGGTGGTGAGAAAAACTGGACTTTGAGTTTGTTTGGATCCTGAGAAAATGTTAAGGAAGGAATAAAGGAAAATTTCAGCTTGTTCATTTAAGAAAAGGGAAGATCCAAATTAGCTGCGACATGTCCATCAGAGAAAAGCCTTCGAAAAAAAGCTAGCTACAAACAGATCGAAGTTTTGTGCTAGCTAGTACACAACATATATATCTTTCTTCCTAATGAGAAACCAGAAACACAGAATTGGAACGTTCATAGATTCAACAAAAGAAGCAAAAAGAAGAGGTCTATGAAACAGTGGTAGGAAAGCTTTTTTTTAAGAAGAAGAAGAAGAAGAAGAAAGGAAGGAAAAAAAATTTGCCTTCCCATAGCTCTCTCATTTTAGTGTTTACCAGTTGCAGATCTAACATCAACACATACTAGCAAGACACTCAACCTGCTATAAACGCCGAGACATTCACTGAAACAGCAACCCCAATTCCCTTCCTTTCTCTTCTTCTTCCCCTTTTCCCTCCTTTCAAGACACACCCAGAAACAAAGAAAGCAAAATAGAAAAAGGGTTGATTTCATTTTCTCTTGTTTATAGCTCTAGATAGCTAGAAGGAAGAGAGAGAGAAAGTGTAGCTATGGTGGTGGGAACTGGGAAGGAATTGAATTGTGATCAAACTATATAATATACCTTGAGCTGCTGCAGAACTCATAGAGCTTTCCACGATTGGAGAAGATGATGAGGGCAACTTCAGCATCGCAAAGAACAGAAAGCTCGTAGGCTTTCTTCAAGAGTCCATTCCTTCTCTTTGCAAAGGTTACTTGCCTGTTGATCTTGTTCTCAATCCTCTTCAGCTCAACCCTACCTCTACCCATTTCTTTTGTTTCTCGATCTTCTCTTTCCCCTCTCTAAGATCTTATTTGATTTTCGATTTTCTTTCTTTCTCTCTGCAGAAGAAGGGCAAAGCTAAGCTAAGCTAAGCTAAGCAAAAGCAAACTGACATGAAATTCTTTCCCTTCCTTTTGTGGCTTTCTATAGTTCTTTCTTCTTACTTGGTGTGAAGAAGCCTTCTTCTCTCTTTTGTGTTTATATGTGTGCCTTTAGTTTCTTTCCTTCACTACCAACTCCTCTCTCTCTCTCTCCCTTTCCTTCGTTTGCTCACCGTATATACTAGTGTATGAGGATCATATGTACTTCATGGACTAGTTTGGGTCCAATAGGGGTATAAATTGTGAGATATGTATATCTGATTAAGGTAAAAGTACTTATCTACAAATTTAGCGGTAGAAATTGTAGGTGAAGTTCATCCATAGATAGGATTAGATGTATGAATCGTATGGATGAGTTATTGATTATGGTGTGGTATTTGTGCCGAAATATAAATTTCAAATATTGTATATGTGTTATTTGAAAATCTGGGTGTACAAATATTTTATTTGAAAGAAGGAGATTTGTAAGTTAATTGCATGTAGTATTTTGTATCATAAAAGAAAGAAAAAATTAGTTATTAAGAATTGACATGAGTATATATGAGTTATTTAGAATAACTCGTTTTTTAGATATTTGAAAATAATATGGGTTAAAATAACTCATTAGTGTATTGGATTGTGAAACTGGTTATTCCGCCGCAAATAACTCACAATAAATTATTTTGTTCAGAAGAAATTGTTTCATTCAAACGATCTCATATGATATTCATAGGAATTGTAGCGTTGCATGTTTGAACCCGTACATGCATGATTAAAGGTGTGATTACTTAACTGGTATATACCTCTTGCGGACTACTTTAATTTGTCTAGCTAATATTTATCAAGACATATTTCATGGCACTTATTTGATTTTCTCAATACATGTATAAAAAAGTTGTATATTATTATCGGGTATTTGGATATTAAATGAAGTTAACCTATTGAGCTTAATATTTTTGCCGTAGTCCATCATTCTTGTACTTATTAGATGTTGATTTTTTTAGATGAATGAGTCAAAAGCTCCAAGAAAGCCTCTAATCACAAAACAATGTCGAATTCGATTGGTAAGTATGGCCAAGATAAATCGGTTCAGAGGAGGTGAAAGGTGAGACCTTGACAATAGTTGTGGTAGATAAGGAGAAGTGAGAAGGAAGCTGAGACAAAGGTGAAGTGGGATGAGCGTCATGATGAAATAGCTAGTTGTTGCATTTGAATCTCTGCCAAGTTTTTGCAATTTATTCGAGTCATATTCTTGAAAACACTGCCAAATTTCATACACAAGAGACTTCCCGTCAAAAATGAGTTTGATGGTATATTAACAACATGACCCGAAAACACTACTAAAATTCATACAAGAGACTTCCCGTAAAAAAATATTTCCAGGCACACACCACATTTTGTAATGGTTGAGCGAGATCAAATCTGTGAGCTACCTGTTACAATTTTATGCATCAATGGAGCTTCGCCTGTAGCAGCCAGACGCCTCCGGGAACACCACACGAGGCTTTGAGAGACATCGACCCCATGACCTCACACATCCCGGGAAGACCTACCCCGCGGCAGCACCGCTAGAGTGTCTTACATTGGCAGGTGCTACTTCAAGGATCATCGCTATCACTGGGGATTGAACTCAGGACCTTGTCTGAGACCTTGAATCTCGATTAAAGCAATCAAGTTCCTCTTTCGTTGGATGCCTAGAGGGACTTATCCTTATCTAGAACAACCAATCAAGGCATTCTACACTAGACTCCCTCTATCGAATGAGGTTCTCAATTGGTAAATAGCATTGAATCAACTCACTCTCGTGTTATCAATCCCATACTTTCAATCGATGGTGCTCTATTGACGTAATTGTGTATTCCCTCTCATAGAATCAAAGCTGAATCAATAATCTCCACTAAACCATAATTGAATCATGAAATCAAGTATAATGAATATGAACTCAAAACTATCAAGGTAGAGTACTCATGCAATCATCCAAACAAGTAAAGGGAAGGGAAGTTACTCCATAGATAAGTGAGAGAATGTAGAAATATGATCTACATCTTTAATCTCCATCTCCAAACTTGATTCCCGAGATCCAATAGCAAAGAAGTCCTCTAAAATAGCTCCATGAATGTTCCCAGGTCGCTCTCTCTATCTAGGGTTCGTCCCTTGGGTGTTTGGGATCCAAAGCCATGCTCTCTCTCTCTAGAAATCTTAAAAACGCATTTATGCATGCAACAAATGCCAAGTTATTGCCCCATGTCATAGTCGTAACCTTTGGGATTCAAGCCATGAATTCTTGAATGATTTCTGCCTCCTGAGGCCCGAGTTACGACCGAAAAGGGCTAAATTATGCAATGGGTCGTAACTTGGAAGGTTAGTCCGTAACTGTTGGTATTCTTCTGTTTCTCAACTCCAAGTTACCCCCTGGAGGCTCAAGTTATCCCACTCCCCCATCCCATAACTTATGGTCTTAGCCTATGACTTGAGGTCTGCTGCTGTTTTATTTTTTACACTTTTAGACCTCCAAATGCCCCAAAATTTGCTCATAAGCTTCCACCACGTACTAGGGCCTGAAATATTACAGAAGGAACACAACCTAGCATGTAATTTTTGCATTATCACTTGTTCAAGAAGTTTCCAATATGCAAAGGAAGATCGTCCAAAGAGCCCAGCCAACGAAGAAAAAGAGCGACGGTTCCAATTGCCTCCCTACTAGGGGTGGGAAACAATTCGGTCCAGTTGAAACCGGACCGGATTGACCCGGTTTTTTATAACCGTCTTGGCAAATACCACAGCCGAAGACGGGATTGGATTGTATCCGGTTTCAACCGTAACCGGATTGGGTCCGATCCGGTTTTAAACCAAAAACTGGGCTGGCATTAACCTCTCCCAGGACGTTGTCGTTTGAATAAAAATTGAGGAAGAAAAATAAAAATCAATAAAAATAAAAATGAAAAGAGGGATCTAAGATATCTCCTTCCTCCACTTCTCGACAACTCCCTAGTCCCTACCTTTCTCAATCTCTCTCTATTCTGGAAATCAAAAATTTCTCATACTCCCATTCTTTCTCGATCTTTCCTCTGCCTTTTCTCCTCCCTGGAGAGCTCTTTGCCTTCTTCGTCGCCGTCGCGCGCAAGGAAGCCGAAGAGCTTCGTCTCCGTCGCGCGTAGGGGACCCGGAGAGCTCCCTGCCTCCATCATCGACGTCGTCGTCGTGCGCGGGTCTTGCATGTTTCGATATGGAAGAAATCCAGAGGAAGGCAGGTCAGGTCATGCTTGTCTCGATCTGGGCGAGAAATAGAGCGATGGCCGCTTCAAATCGGTTGGTGAGACTGAGAAGAGAGAGGCAGAGCTGCGGTTGCTCCAAATCGATCGTCTTGGTGTCCCCGCCGCCGCCATGGAATCGGATGAGAGGCAAGCATAGAGGGTGAGTGAGATAGAGTGGGATTTGGGAGATGGGAGGGTGGTTTCTGGCTTTGCCGATGGAAGAGATTGGAGAGAAGGGAAGAGATCGAAGAAAGGTGGCTGCGCCTTTGAGTGTGAGCTCGATGGAGACGATGTAGGGTTATGGAGTCGGGCTTTAGGGGTTTGGGAGGGTTGGTGGGTCTGTAGATGGGCTCCGGCCTAATTAAGTTGTTGAGAGAGGTGGGCTTGCTGGAGAGATAGGGTGGGCTCAAGTTGGGCTATCCGGTTTTTCCGGTTTTAACCGGATCGGACCGGGCTGTGACCACTGCAACCGCAAACTGGATTGGGTTACTTGGAATCCGGTTTTTGGTTACAACCGGGACTGTTTAAACTGGCTGGTTTCCGGTTTGACCGAAAAACCGGGACCGGATTCCCAGCCCTACTCCCTACCGCCATTAACCCTAATCCTTGTGTAAGAATTTTACTTAGCCCAAAAAGATTAGGAAACCCTTTCCTATTAAATTTAGGACACGTTTACTCGGGTTCTTCCCCTATAAATATATGGCATGACTTATTAGCTTAGTAAGGTTGCACTAACACACAAAAACTTTTATACTCTGCACGAGTAAGAGCTTAGCTTTCATAGGAGAGTCTACATTTAAGGAGATGTTGTCATCATCAATGGTGGTAACCTCCTTCTCTTCTATGTAGCTAGCTCGAGATAGATTGTACGAAGATGTGGACTCGTTTATCTACTATGTGCATTGTGTTTAGTATCAACCATCTATACCTCGAGTAGTATCAATGCTTGTTGTTAGATCAATGATGGTATAGACCATCAATTATGGTTCGTAGAAACCAACAATTAATCATGTGGTACCCTAACTTCTTTGTTCTTCATTAACTAGGTGGTGGCATGAAACGAAAGTACGCATTAGCTAGTTAAATTTCTATCACAGGAGGCACATGAACGGGTAGAGAATGGCTTTAGTGGAAGGGATAGAGTTATGCTATAGATGAATCATTGATCCATGTTGTGATTGAACCTAGTATGCATGATAGTACTCGAGTTTTCTCTCTTCTAGAATAACGTATCTTTACTTTTATGTGTCTATAAATCAAAAAACACATAAAAATTTTTACTATTGTTGTTTGCTTGTTTATTAGATAAAACCCCCTAAATACTCGAGTTTATCTATTCACTACTTCCCCATTTTTAAAGCACCAAAATCAACAACAAACAAGATGGAAGGTATTATGAGGAAGTTTTGTGGTCTGGTGCTGGTGATGCTCAGAAGCCTCCTTTGGTTAAATGGAATATATGCAAAGCCTCTAGAACTAATGGGGGCTGGGTCTTTTCGATTTGGAGAGTTTCAACAAAGCTCTTCTATCTAAATGGCTTTGGAAGTATATCACAGAAAGCACAAGCTGGTGGTGTCATCTTATTGAGCTTAAATACAAGCATAGGTGCTCCTCATGGATTACCGGTCCGATTAAGAATGGATATGGAAGTTCCCCTTGGGCCACCATTTCAAGAGAATACAAATCGTTCTGGAACTATGTTTACATAGATCCGGGAAGTAGTACTAATGTTTCCTTCTGGTTTGATTGCTGGTCTCTTGGGCGTATCCTTGCTTACGATTTCCCCAGTGTTGTCGCCGCTGCCACTGCCCCTAAAGCCCAAATCGCGGACATCTACTCTCATTCAGGTGAGTCTTTGCGGTGGGAAATTGATTTTAAATATAATTTGAGGGGTGGGGCTGAGAGAGAGAGGCGGAATCTTGTGCATTTTATTAGTTCCTGTGATTTTTATAATGATGTTGCTAGTCCGTGCAGACCCTTCTAGACTCCCAACCCAGACTCGACCTTTTCTGTTTCCTCCATGTATAGATGCATTGCTGCAGATTCTTTCCCGGGAGTACCTGACTTCCCTTGCTCCCGCATTTGGAAGAGTATCATCCCAACCAAGATTTGCTTTTTCATGTGGGCTGTTTTCCACAAAAGAATTCCGACAATTGATCTACTGAAAAGAAAAGGGTTGGAACTGGCTAACCGTTGTGTTCTGTGCTGTAAAGAGGAGGAATCTGACGATCACTTATTCACCGAGTTCGACTACGCCAAGAAAGTATGGAGTTTCATCAAGAATAGATGCAGAGAGGCTTATCAACCGCAAGACGACATTTTGTTGGCAATCCGTAATTGGTCAGATTCACTTCCCAACACCATTGATGGATGGTTTTGCTTTTGCTTGCTCCACGCCACTTGCTGGCACCTTTGGCTTGAGAGAAACCGATGCATTTTCCAGGACAAAAGCTTGCTTTCCAGTACCATTGCCCGACGTATCGCGAATGCGGTCATTGAGTGGGTGGTTATTCAAGCTAAAGTGGATAAGTCTCAAGGTGTAGATTGGTTGAAGAATCGTTTTGATTGAGTTGAGTTTTTCTGTTGTGTAATCCATATGATTTGTTGTTTCTTTCCGTTAGCTGTTGTTTGTTTGCAGTCGTTGCGGGGATGTAATGACCTGTCTGAGATGCTTGCCCCCCCCCCCCCTCTTGTTCCCTTTTTCTTCCTGGGCATGAGCTTTCTGGTGGGCTAAGCCCTTTATTATTATTTTTTGCTGATTTTTTGCTTTTCCTTTTTTGAAGCACGTCTCATGCTGGGTTTGTATTATGTACTTTTCCTTTTCCTTTTCTTTAATGCTATTCTCACCTTTATAAAAAAAATTAGAAGACCTCGTAGAATACTTCCATAGGCATCCCCTAGGATGTATTACTTCGATCTACAATTTCCCACATCAAGTTTTCGAAGCCCTATCTGTTATTTCTAATCATGTATAAAAGCATCTAATCATCTTGTGTCTTTCTTTAGTTTGAAGTTTCTGTTGTTTAGCAGAATTTCACATGAGTCTAGTAAGTACTAGGAGAAAAACCAAAAACCTAAAGGTCGTGCAAGAGATAGTTAAAAAAGGAGGAGCATCGAGCTCACTCATCTTGAAGACGAAGGAAGGAGTATCTAGGTTAGGAGAAGAAGAACCCTCAAGCCCCACCAATTTCAAGTAAAGCTTAGGGGAGGAGGACATTATTGATGAAGACAACTTCGATTCGGAGGGATAAGGAGCATCTTCAACTTATTCAACACCAACGATGGTTGGAGAATAAAGAAAAAGACAAGTGATCGTTCCACCTGCTCTCTATGAGTACTCAAGGCCGAGAGGTTGTGAGGTGCCTGGAAGGAGATGGGATGGTTTGTGTGGATAGGTTAATTGTTTGATTGAGAAACAGAGGGAAAGGCTAAGAGAAAGCAACAGATTAATGCGTACAAGTAGGGATGGCAATGGGTAGGGTCGGGTGCGGGTTTACTCTATACCAACTCCTAACCCGCCGGGTAGAGCCTCCTAAAATAGCCGATCAAATAACTACCGGGTATGAAAATGATATCACCATACCCTACCCACCGGGTCACCACGGGTATTCGGGTAAACATGGGTACAAATTCTAAAATATGAACTTATACACATATATGCACATGCATACTGTTGTCCATTAAAAATTCTCAATACTTGTAACTGTTCTAACTTCAACAATCCACACAAATAAAAACAAACAAACACATAATAATTGTTCTTGCTTCTACAATCCACATAAACAAAAATACAATACATCATATTTGTTCTAGCTTCAACAATCCACACATAAACACAAAAACAGCAAAGACAATTTTAGAACCAGACCACGTCAAATGCTCACTGCTTAACTTATGCTTCATGACATCCATCAAGGCATCATTAGTAGAACAATTATCCAAGGTAATCGTAGATACCTTTGTATCGATATCCCAAGCAAGTAAAGTTTCAAGAAGAGCCTGAGCAAGCACCTCACTTGTGTGTGGGCAAGGAAAATCGACTGCTGGGTAGGGTTAGGGCTAGGGAAATTGACCCTTTGGATAGCGGGGCGGGTATAACAGGACGAGTATTATCGATTACCATACCCGTACCCTACCCTTTATTTTGAAACAGGGTTTTACCCATACCCGCCCCTTAACCCGTCAAAACTGGTAATTATCCTCGTTGACCGGTTATGGTCTAGTAGGATACCCATGGTTACGGGTTGGATTGACATCCCTACGTACAAGGCTGGCTGGTGCCTTTAGAATATGTTCACTTTTAGGGGCAAAAGTTATGAAAGGAGCAGAAGGCGGGATACTCTTTTGTTTTTCAGTTTAATAAGGTTGCATACTTTTGTTGTGAGAAATTTGGAAGCCAAATTAAATTTTAGATCCAAAGTAAAGTTCCCTCAAAATAAAATTTAGGATGTAGAGGAAATTTTTCCTTTTAAATTTTGAGGACATTTTTTAATGTAAAATTGGTCAATTATTCACGGGAACTAATCATGACTAAGTATTAATCACGGAATATGAAGAATAAAAAATAGACAAATTAATTCCTGTTACTAAAACTATACAATCAAATATAACATTTTTCCTATGATTATTACTATACTTCTTAATACAAGAAAAAATCCTGTGAAGAAGATAATGTGACTAAAAATCAGTTTTTTTTTGTCGTGGCAAGCACCTTTCACTGGGCGGAAGAATCATGTTATGTAACATGGTTTTGGCTACTCGACCGCTGTATATATGCGTTCTTTTTAGTGCTCTTAGTGCAGTAATTGAGAATTTTGACAGATTGACTTCATCTGGTTTGGTGGGCACGCAGAGCATAAGATCTATTTGGTGGCCTTTCAAAGATGCCAAGCGCCAACAAAATTGGGCGGGCTGAGCATTACAATTACAAATACTAAAACTAGGAATCAAACTCTCATGTGTAAATGGTGGTAGAGGTACGGGCATGATAGGAACTCGTGGTGAAGAGATTTGATCCATCGTTAATTCCCCAATGAGTCAACCGAATGGATGTCAGCCGAGATAAGTGGGTTAGTAGGGTGCAACCCTTGGTCCTTCAAGAGTGGTGTGGGATCTTTCCCATGTTGTTTTCAAAGTTTCCATGAGTTAGAGACTTCCCCCTTAATGTCATTTGGCAAGCTGCCATCCCACACAAGATTTATATTTTCCTTTGGATTGTATCCTAAAAGATTATTCTGACCCATGATGCACTAAAGATGAGAGATTGGGCTCTTCCCAATTGATGTGCCCTCTGTAGAGAAAGCGAACAAGATACATATATAACATATTCCTACATGTAATTTTACTCAAGAAGTTTGCACAGCCTAACTAACTACCACATTCTGAACCAAGTATAACTCGAAAAGGCGTTGCTAATATAGTGACTACCAAGGTTGTATTCCATGGGTTAATTTGGTAAATTAACCAAGGTTGCTGCTCTGGGGTTTAAGCAAGGGCTGAGGGTTGGGGTGCGGATTGAGAGTTGGGTGCGGTAGTGAATTCAACCCCTTCCATTACCTTACCTCGCATTTTCATCAATCACGCGAGAAAGCAAACCAATCATTAGGCAGTAGCTACTGGATTAAGTATCCTAAATCAATTGAAAATTAAAACTAGCAAGAACTAAGACAATCATGTAATATACCTTCATGAATAATCAATGAACACTTCAACAGTCCAATCGATAACCTTGAAAACCTAACATAAATCAAGAAAGCAACCATCTGTTAGACATGAGACATCAGACAAGCACTTGAATAGAATCTCGCAAATCCCAAACTACAGGAAGAAGAACACTTACGGTTTGTTCTCCTTGTAATTGTTGTGACTGGAAATGGGAATTGCAGGAAACTACTAGCTTTACTACCTCAATCCCTCGTGAGTGGTTTGGGTTCTGAGAATTTGCAAGGATAAACACTCAATTATAATATTTATAGGCGCATGCATGAAGGAGGAGAAGAAGAAGATGATGATGATATCGAAGAGTCGATAAAAGGAAAGTGGCACTATAATCGCCATCGTGAATGGCTCGATTCGAAAAACTCGAAGGGCCTCAAATGATTGATTGGGTATCTGCTCTTGTGAGCAACGAATGTAGGGATTTTGTGCAGTTTTCTCTCCAATCGAAGAGCAAAATGCGAGATTTGAGGAGAAGAAGAAGGGTTAGGGAGGGACTTACGGTTGGGGATTAGTTTTTCAGAGCGGCTCTATGTCAAATAGAGGAGTTTTTTTCGCGAAATGAGTTGAGATTAGGCTAAGATGGGGTTGCTGAATCAAGGGGAAGCGGGTTCGGGTTCCCGTTACCACCAAACCCACAACCACCCGTCAACCCGCTATAGCGAGTTTCGGGTTCTCGTTACCCGTCAGCAATCCGTTTGACCTGATTTTCACCACCATAATTCGGGCAGATCCGGGCGGGTACCCTGAATTCTTGTCCCATTGCCAAGCCTACATAAGAGGGAACCATGACCATTATTTATTTGAGAGGGGTTGAGGCTCACTAAATTGAGGGAAGATTCATGTATCATGTGTCAATTTTTTGTATTGCTCGATTTCTTAGTATATATTAATTAGAATCGCATATCTCGAATATCGAGTACTACTAAAAAATTAATTTCAATCACAAATCCAAAAAATATAACTCGATAATCAATAATACCAAATAATGTCAAATTTCATGTGGTATTTGGTGTCACAAATACTTCAACTTCTAGCTACAAACAATATTTTAGATATTGCAATCCTTGGGGGTTGGTCATTGACTTCCAATCAATGGTTAATTACTTATCAACTTAAATCATTACTCATTAGCTAGGGGTAGGGCTGGCATTTCGGTTTGCGGTTAGCGGGTAACCGGCGGTTTTAACCAAAAACCGCCGGTTACCAGCTAACCAAAAACCGACCGGTTACCTTGACGGCCGGTGGTCGGATGGGAAAAGGAAGGGGTCGGTTGACCGAGTAACCGACGGTAATTAACTGCGGTTATCCAACTAACCGGGCCAACCAAGACCCACTTAATCTTCCCCAAAATATGTCCAGATTCATCTCCATTCCCACCTCTTAAATAAATAAAAATTTCCAAATACAAGAAGAAGAAGAAGAAGAAGAAGCAGATCTACACTCTCACGTCTCACCACCGCCATAGCCAACAACACCTCCGCCAAACCCGCCACTTGCTCCGCCGCCAAGTCCTCCGGCCTTCCCACCGCCGGCACCGCCCCCAAGCCCACCTCCCTTACCTATTTCGCCACCTAGACCTCCACTTTCTCCAATCCCACCACCTAAACCACCGCCGCCTCCTAACCCGCCGCCGCCGCCTCCACCAGCACCTCCGCCAAACCCGCCACTTGCACCCGCTCCACATCCTCACCGCGGCGGAGGCCATCGCCGGCAGTCGGTCAAGGAGACCAAAGAGAAGAAGATGAAGGAGAAGGAATAAGCCCCTCTCGCCGCCGCCGAGGCCGAGAAAGAAAAGGATCGGAGCAGACCGTCAAGGTGGAAGGAGAAGAAGCCACCAAAGAGGAAGCTCCTGCCCCCGCAGACGAAGAGAAGAAAGAGGAAGAGAGAGAGAGAGAGGATGTCGGCGATTGAGGGAGAGGTAGAACGATTTTGGCTTGGCGGGCGGCGGCAAGGTTTTTCCAGAGGAAGAAGAGAATCGAGAGAGAGTAGGGAGAGAGATAGGTTGCTTTTAAATTTTTTTTTTTTCGATTCTCTGGAAAGGAAGAAGAAGAATCGAGAAGTGAGAGGGGTGAGGAGTGAGTGGTGCAGAATTTTTGTTGCTTTGAAATTTTTTTTAGAAAGGGTATTTTTCCGGTTGGCCGGCTAACCGAGCCTAAAACCGAAACTGACCGGTTAGTTGGCCGGCTAACCGTGACCACTCTCACGGTCGGTGGTTGGCAGCTATAGGGAGTGGCTCAGTTTAACCGATAATCGGGTTTTCGATTTTCGGTTAAACCAAAACCGACCGACTGCCACCCCTAACTAGGGGTAGAACTAACATGCACATGGACATGCTCTCATTCCTTAATGAGATTTATTATGCCTCGTAACTTTCGGTTACCCATAACCAACCATTGTCCAAGTAACATTTATTACTAATGAATTGAATCAGCTAAGTTAGCCTGCCACTATTCACGCGACTCACGAGAGAACTTCATATGTAGGTATTGTTCGTGCCAAATCAATAATGATACGTTTTTGTCCAAATTTGAAGATCATTACATATAGAAGTTTACACATGCATAATGACTTAGCACCTAGTTAGTTGTATGTTAAGTTTAGTTTCGGTTCATTAGGGATTCGATGACCAACAATATTTTATTTGTTCTTATAGATTTTGTGATGTGTTTCTAGAATTTTGAAAAAAATTATTGAATTCAGAATTATATTTGTATCTCAAAGGCTAGCGATTCTTGAAAAATTTATTTTGTTCTATAATAATATCAACTTCGTCGTTTAAAATAAAAGGTGTTCTTCACTTCTAATTAACGCATACATTTTGTAGGTAAACCGCTACGAAGTGCGGACTAATTATCTAGTATTTTATATCAAGACCATGAAACTCTATTATTGGTACTTAACAAGAAAATGACACTCATCAAAACTTTGGTTCAAGTTTCAAAAAAAGTTGCCGTTAGTCAAATTTTGATCATGATTTTGGGTACCACGAAATCCCTATCATCGTAACAAAAATGGAGTGGGAGTAACAACGTGAAGGTTGATGGAGGTTAACTACTCCTCCAAAAGGGGTTTACATTTGTTTGAACAACTCCCTTAATCACTAAACAATGCAAGGTTTTGGACAAGTAGGTAATACGAGGTTTTCTGTTTGTTTATTATTAAAGTTTCTTTCGATTAAGAGACAAAGGGGAAACGATCATTATTTACCCATTTGATGACGACAAAGCTAATTGCCTTAAAAGAGAAGTGAGCTTGCAATTTGTCTGTTTCCATATGGCAATAGCGACCGACCAATATAATCGATCAGCCGACCATTCCTTATCCAACTCCCCTCTATCTCAGTGATTATTAAGCATAATTTGTTACCTTTACTAGTTAAGTTGGAATCGTCACAGTATTCTAAACTCCTCCTCTAATCATTATTGCTTTACCTTCATCAGGTACCCTAAAGGCCTAAACATATAAATTGACACTAGTAATTACTACTTAGTCGGTTTGTTACTTTAACAACAACATTCCAACTGCTTGAATCAGCTTTTGCCATGCACAATACTATTAACTAAGAAAATGACTACATATGTTGGTACATTTTTCACCCTTTTTGTTTACACTTTGCTTTAGGCTTAACAAGTGTCAAATAATGTTGTTTTTATCCTTCAATGCAACCTATGTACATAGCAGAGTGTAAAAGGTTGCATACATACCGTGGCGGACCCAGGATTTTGTGATAGGTGTGTCGGCCATAAAAATAAGTTAAAATTAACGAATTAAAATTAATGAAGAATTGTTCTTGAAAGTTCATTAAATTCATTATGTTTTATAGTGAATCATGACGGATTTTCATATTCTGAAAGATTTCTTAAATACATTTGTCCATTGGGCTGCAATTCAAACCTTTTTATGTAAGCAACTAAACGGTTATTCATAAATTGGTCACTCAACACTCAACTGATACCAAATATCATTCTTAATTAAGTTCATATATGGAAAATATTATTTTGTAGCTTGAAGTTGCAAGAGGTAAAGTAAACAATAATTTAAGATGGGAAAGATAGATTGGGAAGCTGGATGGATGGCAACAAGCGTCAAAGTGGAAGTTTGAATGATAATGAGGATGTCGCCGACGCCAAAAATTGGATGGTGATCTCAGGCGCCAATGTGGAAAGCAATAACTAAACTAGAAAGTAAATTGAAAATTAACTTAAAGAAAGATCTATGGAAGAAGCTACAGGGAAAGATGATATGGAATTCACTATTTAATTACTTTACTCAACCAGCTTATTAATCAATTTAATACTCATTCAAATTACCAAGGTTATCTCTAAGGTGACAGTTATATCTCTGAATACCCACCGATTGGTTACTCTTGTACAACCAATTAATTAACTACCTAGTATGAAGTTTGATAACTTCTATATTAAAATATTTTAATAAAAATATGACAACAAAAATTTTATAATGTAATAAGGTGTGTCAGTTATAATTATCGAAAGCGTGTCGGAGGTCCCGTGTTCGAATTTTTTATACCGAAAAAATATGGGTTCCCACAAAAATTTCGTACCAGGTGTGTCGGGTGACACACGTCCCTTGGATCAATGAAATCAATGAAATCCATTATCTATTTCATAGTGGGCCCACAAAACTAAAATACACTATCTCACAACTCACAAAATAGGATAGAAATAAAGAAAGAAAAAAAATAGCATACAACGTGGGTCGAGCCCACTCTTGCTTTTCCATTTAGCATTTCATTAAGTGGAAGATCCCACTTTATGAAATAGGGGCTCCAACAATGAAAAGGGAAATGAAAGTGATTTAGCGAAAGAAAGAAGAAGAAAAAAGCGTCACATAGGATATAAAATAGTAACATAACAGTCATTGTGGATGCTCTTATATACTGTTTTTATATCGACCCTATTATCAACCCTTGTCATCGGCCTTGGGTCCACTCGACGGATGGCTCTTAAGTTTTGTCCGAACTGCTTGTGTAGCGGAGAACCCTACAAAAACCGAAAAGAAAGAAAGAAGAAAAAAGAACATCGTACATTAGCAATAACAGCTGTATGGGTGATCAACTGTACAAAATAGTTGGACAGTTTTAATTGTGAAAATGACCTCTTCCTCTCTATTATTAAATCTCAACTCACTCACTCATGGATCTCTAGGTTGGGTAGCTTATAGCTTTGTAGTCAGGGACCAATACAGGAATTTCATTTTAGTGATTTTTAGATAATATAATATCGAACTAAATACAAGTTATAACCCCTTATATAATTTTATTACTTGTTGAGACTAAAAAAAAGAGAAAGAAAAAGAAGATACATGCAGCTTGTGTATTGATATATATAGAAGTAAGAGTAAAGAAGTAGGTTTCCTTTCTCCATCTTCCATTTTGGCCTTTCTTTTGCGTGTAAGAAACTGAAAACCTAACTATATATGCTGCTGTATTATATCCCATATGGTCTGTGATGAAAACAAGGTGAGGCAAATTTAGCGCAGAATGGGCAGATTTCAAGTTAGGCTCAAGAAGTCTGGACTGTCATTAAAAAGGGCCATGAAAATCGTCAAACTATGGCCAAACATCAAATGTGTACCACTTGGATGCACCCAACTTTTTACCCCCACACTTCATTGGTGAATATATTCATTCAGTATTTTTTGGGTATTTCTGTATATACATTTATCAATATATGGGTAAGTTTTTGCTGGTTGTTCAAAGGTCATCGTTTAGCAGTCGCCATTGTTGGAAGAAAACTAATATGTTAAGAATTGGAAAGAATGGTGGGTGGGTGAGGAGGAGGCAGGTGATGAGTGCCCAGGTTGGAAACTTATTCATATGCCTATTTAGTC